TAAACTAGCTGAAATATTTAAGAACCTGTTTGTTTGCATAGTACTTATACTCACGCTAATATGGCGGTCACACTGAACAGTATGACTGAGTAAGTAACTTTCTTGCAGCACATATTGGATGACTGTTTCTGGTACATCTTCCCTCCACAGTTACCGCACATCCGACAACAGCAGAAACAACAACACACCAATGGGAATATTAAAAGAAATAGAAATCCCAATACTATGCAGATGGCTATTCCCAGGAAAACATCAATATTCTGTGAAGAAGTAAATTAACAGTGAGTTTAAGATTGAATTCATTACAGAAAGATATTAGAACCCAAAGTTAAAATTTTGTGCTACAGTCATTACAATCCAAGCCAAATACCAAGTAATGTGCAGTGGTGATTGAACTCCAGATTATTCTGAGATTATATGTTCATCTTACTTTCATTATTATTGGTTCATATCATCATGATTCTCAAAGTTATGCCCCCCCCCAAAAAAAATCATGTTGTATGTTGCCATGGTAATGGTAGGACAGGCTTAAAAATAAAATAGTAACTTTTAGGCACACACTCAAGCAAATTAGACTGAGATATGTCTGAGATTATTACTATTATTTTGCGCAAAGGTAGGATCAAAAATCGAGTTTTAGGCCATTGTCATGGTAACAGTAGGTCAGAACTTTTTTTTTAAATTTTTCAACTTTTTTTAGAGTGCAGGTGTGACCTACCTGTAAAGTTTGACCAGGGTCAAATTTCCTGGCAATGAAAAAAGATATCAAGTGGCATTTTGTGGGGATCCTTCATACTTTTTTACAAGTACATGTACCGGCACCCATAGCAATGGTATCGGGAAATAGAGATGGTCAAATAACATTTAATAATGTAGATGCAAATTTATTCCTGTATCCTCAAATTCAAGTTTTTGAGAGCAATTTATGTCTTTCCCAGAAATTGTCAATTTTTCAAACAAATGAATCCATTTCCACTGACAATCCCTGACAGCTTTCACCCATATGTGACCTGATTTGTATATAATGGCATCAAACAGGAATGTGTTAACCTCATGGTCTTACATGTTGCAAAGACAGCAATACCTGTACCCATACAGTAAGTAGAGAACTAGTCTAATGAGTACATGTATTTTACTGTAGATACACATTATACTATGCTGTCCAAATATTCCTGAATGTATTCTTTAGCTTATGTTAATAAATTACATTGTAATGATGATTATCCCAAGTATCATGCCTGTTCTATGAAATAAAGTCCATTTAGATATTTTCGATATCCTACCCTATTGGTGATCTGAACAGTCAATAACTGGTTGGATCATAGTAATGTTTCCGTATACGTTGTCAAGGGATATTTTGATAAGCTGTAATGAATTGTTCTTATTTTTGTAATAATGTAATTTAAATAAATAAATAGGAAATGTCAATTCGTAGACATGGGCAAGGTGTAAAATGTAATCGACTATTTTATTTGTCCATAATTTGTATAAAGATATTATTTTTTGTAAGCATTTAGGAATTTGCTTTATCTGTAAAGTGTGAAAACTTATTTTTTACTGTAAATGGAACGTATAATGCCGTTTTTATGTCCTGTAACCTGTACCAGCTAACCCCCCCCCCCCCCCCAATATATAAGTAATGCAGACATTCACCAACACACGTTTTGGTTTTAAAGTCAAATGTACTGCCTTCTCCCAACCTCAACTTAGCCACACACGGGATTAGAAATCTCATAGAATACTGTAAAATGACTAATTTTCACTGGGTTTAAATTTCACTGATTTGCCATTTCAGGCATATTCAGTGGGTTTTAAATTCACGGTTTTATCAATTAGATAATGTGTTCTACGCTAAATTTTACATATTCACTGGGTTTTAATTTAGCGCATTTTCCAGTCAGCGAAATAAGCTAAATTAAAACCTGGTAAATAATTAACCCCTTTACAGTATGTGAAAAGCCTTTGATAGATTTACTTCAAAAGTAGTAAAATGTTACAAAAGTCTCATAATCATAAAATAAAATCATAAATACGAAATGTATATGGATTTCTCACAAAAACTCGTAGTTATTATAAATTTGTGCACGTCCTCACCAAAAGTTCTGAACATCCAATATCACACAGTTATTCATTTAAGATACTCTATAACCGACAAAATAATACTTACGTTCATCAAATCATCTTGTAAGTTATCTATAGATTTTCCATTATTCATATAATCAGGTATTATTCCTAGAAATGAGAAAAGTATATTATTAAATACACAATCAGAATTTTAACAGTACATTAAGTGCAAGAATGAACAACATTTTTCAGACAAAACAAAACAAAAGAAAACAAAAAGTTAAAAATATTGACCAAACAAGATTTGCAAATTACCTAGTGGTCAAGTTTAGAAGACAGATTTTCCACCAAAATTGTTGTTAAGACTGAAAATAACACATGCATGTGCAACAAGATGTATGACATAGATGTATATTATAAAGTTTGAACATGATCTGTCAAGACATGTCAGGGATAAAGCTCATTCATTAAAACAAAATGGTTGCCAGTCGACCATTTTGAATCTGAACTGGAAAACAAAATGATGTGCATCACGGTCCTATAATGTCCAATATATATTTCTAAAACTATTTTTCTTTATTGTTGTTGTGTTTTTATTGTGTTGTTGATGGATTAGTTTCTTGACCATGGACAATGTATTGTAGATTCAAAGTTTTGTGTCAAATAAATTATCTAGAAATCCATCCATACACAACCAAGATCAGGTTCCAGAATGGCAGAAATGCTTGATTTTGATGAATTTTTAACATTGAATCCAATCATAAAACATGTGTATGTGAAGTTTTAATGTGATCAGCTAAGGCATGTTTGAAATGCAGATCGAGATGAACTAATAGACAGAGATCATTCCATAAATCTTCATTTATGGTTTGCATCCAATGGACCGAAACTAAATATACCGGTATAATGTTTAGGATATAATGTATTTTTTCAACTACCTGTTTTACCTAATTTCTTTAGAAACCAAAGTATTTTTAATGTACAGTACATGTACCTGTGCTGTCAAGCTTATCAAGTATTCATGCAGGTCATGTTGTTTTTCACAGTATATACTATTTAAGTATCTTTAATTCCACTTAAATTCACAGCACCACAACATACTGGGGGAGGGAGACAGGAGTCAATACATTTTACAGGAGGGTTCATATGAAGATTAGTAGAATTTTATTTTAGGGGATTCTTTTTTTCTTTTCATATAGAAATGACCTGGATAAAATGAAATTCTGGATCTGTCCCTGGGGGACGACATTCGTACTAGTACCCAACTTGCATAATTTAGTTGAATACAAAATAAATGTAGTACATTCCTCACATTAGATATTCATATATTTAGATCCTCACGTCATATTTGCCATAAATATAAATAACCAATTTGTTTTGCCCAAATTGTTGTGTATATATAAACAAAAGAAGACAAAATACTAATCTCAGGTGTAATAAGTATATAATTTGTCATGATAAAAAAGTCATGAAAGAGAAGTAAAGAAAATGTGATACACAGCTCTTGTGACTGAGCTACTGAAGTATGCCCTCTAGTGACCTCATGCATGCTTCACTTCCTTTTTATGCTCACTTAGTTATGGTAACATTGCATTCTGCAATCAAACCCACCTGTACTGCAGAACTTAAACTTCACCAAAGCATATCAAGTTTACCTTGATGCTCTTCATATTCTAGGGCTATAAAGCATTTTGGGCATTGGGAATGGGTGTCCTATCAGCTACAAAGCCCTTGTACATATCTGACAGTAATACAAAGTCTACTTAAAGGATGGTAGTTGTGCAAGGTATATGGTCGAATATAAACAAAGATGGCGACTTTGACTGTTGCACAGATCAACAAATATAAACTGAGACGTTACCAAGCTTTATTGGGGTATTTTTGTATGCTTGATGGTGCAGTGAATTATTAAACATAAAGCTCCTGATGAGTGAGATACAAGTACCTTATGAAACAGTGTTGTAGTGTTTTGATAGTCGCACTCTTGTTTTGTATCTACACTAATTTTTTTTATATATATATATATAAATATATTTTCGATACATATATACATTGGTTTTCATAAAGGCGTAAATTTGTTTCATGGAGATTTATGAATATTTATATAAAATTTATCCCAAAAGATCCTCATGCTTCACATAAGTTCAAAGATGCTTTCATTGGTTGTAAAAAAAGATTTGATATGCCCATTACCCATGAGTCTTTAAGGAGTTTCATCATTGGCCAATTTACTGCCATGATTGCAAAAGATAGATTCCATCAAATTTGTTTAAAATGCTTGAAATCACAGTGGTTCATTCGCTGGAGCAAATTTGAAAGAATACCAGTACAAATCGTATCATAATCGTTTGGTACAGAATGTTAAGTTGCGAAAACAAGCCAGTGTCAAAGAAATATTCTCTACCAATTTACTGTGAACATTTATAAATATTTTATATAAAACGAGACCTTCACGAGAACTAGTTTATGCATTTTTTTATCAAAATTAGTTGTTTAAAATCTACACTTGAAAAGGAATGATGTCAATAAAATGATATGATGTAACCCTGGCTATGTTAATATTCAGTGGAAAATGTAACATCATGGCATTGATTCTTATGGTTTATTAAGTACCCGATATGCATAGGAAAACAACAAATAGTATGACAAGTTTTTATTTCTGTCACATGATAATGTGACCAATTAAACAAGAGAGTCACGCAACTTGTTATTAAACCCCATCTTTATCTCAATCATGTACACGGTTTCAAATACCATGGATTCCCAAGTCAGAGGCCAATGACGACAGAGAATAGAACATTATTTAGAGAAAAACAAATTACATGACCATCAAGCTCTGGATAGGGTATTTACTTGCACATGTTGGCAACTTGCCTGTGTTAATCTGATCAAGTTGTTTTACAAAAGTGGGTTATAATTATCTCTGTAATTAAAAATCTATATTAAAATTGTTTTCTGATATGAAGTAGGAATCATTTTCAACAAATCTACATGTAGATACAAGGCTCCAATTTTTTTTTTAATTTTTTAATTTATATATATTTTTTTTAATTTTTATATTTTTATTATTTTTATTTATACATGTATTTATATTGTTATTTTTGTTTATTTATGAATATTTTTGTTTCACTTACTATTATTAAGTTTTTTATATATCCTATTTTGGTTGCCTTAACTATATATAAAAAAAAGCTTAATAATAAAAATAAATATAAATATAAATAAAAAAATTTAAAAAAAAATTAAAAACGGGGAGCCTATACCAAGATTGGGATACTTTTCATCGGGGTGCAACATTCATCTAAATCTGAACAACCTAACTTTACCATTTCATACACCAGCCATGATGTTTCTGAACAGATCATTACGTGCTAGTTGGCCCTCGTGAACATGAACAACATCATTGTCTATTAAATAAAATAGTTTTCAGATGATGAGTCACTACAAAATAGTTTTGCTAAATGAAATACTATAGCTCTCTGTGACAGGTGAAAGTACAACAATATGCAAATGTAGGTGTTGTGGAAACGTGTATTTCTGTTGCTACAATACCGGATATACCAGTTCTCATATAACCTTTTATATCCGGGAGCATTCAGTTTCTTTTTTTTTCTTTCTTTGTGTGCAAATCCTTTAGTCATTTTATACCATGTGTACATGAATGTTCAAAGGTAACTGAGTACTGTTCTGTGTTCTCTTGTATCCTGTTATTAGAGAGTTTCCTCACAGCCATTAGCAAGTTGCTTTATATTAAATAATTTCCAATTTCGTCCAGTAAAGGTGTTTTCAAAAGCCCTATTATTACTAAATCAGGAAAATGGTATTGAAATGCATATCTAAATTCAAAAGTAACGAACAAACATTAAAAAAACTCAGCATTTGGTATTTGAATAGCATATGTTCAAATATGTTCTGTATAATAAAAGAGCTACATACATAATACCACAGAAATACATCACCATACAAGTTTCCATTAAAACTGCCCCAAATTTTAATATTTATCAATATGTAATTTAATTGCATATTTTAATTTTATGGTTAACTTTGCAAGTCTCATCTTATAAGTATTCAACATAATAGTGTAGTGCAGACAATTTAATCCCTTTTTTCTTGAATGCATTTGTACTTTCATTTTAACGCTATAGAAATGCATTCTTTGTCAATTATTTGAATCCTTTTCTTTGAGACCATTGTTAGCACATGAACCTGTGTGTGTTAGGTGGTTATAAATGAGCTGAGTATTATGTTTTATGACAGCCTATAGCATTATACATACATGTACATGTAGCATTACAGTTTTAATGTTAAACTTATAAGATTTCCTTGTACACAGACCTGATAGACTGGTGAAACAGATGTATGGCAGAACCTTGAGATAACAAGTAGGCATGCCACCAGTATTACAAGTAGGCAGGTCATTATATGCTACCAGTATTACAAGTAGTCAGGTCATTATATGCTAACAGTATTACAAGTAGGCAGGTCATTATATGCCCCCCAGTATTACAAGTAGGCAAGTCATTATATGCCACCAGTAATACAAGTAAGCAGGTCATTATATGCCACCAGTATTACAAGTAAGCAGGTCATTATATGCCACCAGTATTACAAGAAGTTAGGACATTATATGCTCCCAGTATTACAAGAAGTTAGGACATTATATGCTACCAGTATTACAAGAAGTCAGGTCATTATATACCACCAGTATTACAAGAAGACAGGTCATTATTGCCACCAGTGTTACAAGAAGGCAGGTCATTATAAGCCACCAGTATTACAAGAAGGCAGGTCATTATAAGCCACCAGTAATACAAGTAAGCAGGTCATTATATGCCACCAGTATTATAGCAGAATTAACTGAAATCAATAACGGCATGACAAAACCAAGTAAAGAAATTGACAGATTTATTTTCAGATCACATTCAGTATATTGTGTGTTTAGTGTTTCTCAAATGTCAATATGTACATGTACTGGCATGCACATTTCAGCTTTCTGTTTATTAGTATGAGTTAATTTCCACACCAATTCACATGTTACAGTAATAAAATTTCTATGTAGGCAAAGGAGGGATACTGCTAAAACATTAATTATTCAGAGTTGCAATTTTATTCTTTTTTGCTGATATTTATTACTGCTTTGGAATATTCATTAATATTCATGAATATAC